GGAGGCTGAGGGGAGACCTGATTACACCCTATAAATACTTGAGAAGGGATGGTGGGGAGGTAGGGGAAGGGCTCTTTACATTAGTGTTGGGTGACAGAACAAGAGGAAATGGGTATAAGCTTAGTCAGGGGAGGTTCAGGTTGAATGTTAGAAAGTATTTCTTCTCTGAAAGGGTTGTCAGCCACTGGAATAGGCTGCCCAGGGAGATGGTTGAGTCCCCATCCCTGAATGTGTTTAAGAAAAGGGTGGATGAACTGCTTAGGGATATAGTTTAATGGGGGATTAGGGACGGTTGGACTGGATGATCTCTAAGGTCTTTTCCAACCTAGAAATCTATGAAATCTATTTTTTTTTTTTCTACAGAGGCACAGAGTTCTAACACAGTTTGTTCTGTAACTGTTAGTGGCGAAAAGATGCCTGCTATGACTACTGAAATGCAGCTTCAGGTGAGTTTGCATTTCCTTCAAAGTTATTCATAAATTTTCTTTTCAACTGGAGACAAACATACATGTACAGTAGGTAAAAACAATAAATTTCTTCTAACAAAAATAACAATCTCTTTTGTCATTTCAGGTTTTACACTCAGCTCTCTTCACATTTGATTTAATAGAAAGTGTTCTAGCTCGAGTAGAAGAACTCATTGAAGTGAAAATAAAAGCTGTAATGGATGAAAACAGTTAGGTCAGCTGAAGTATTTGAATTAACATACTTTTTATAAGATCACTTTGACTATGAGACTTTAGTGGAAAAGGAAGCTACCAACCTTTACAGAGGAGCAATTTAGAGTAGCCCCTAGAAGAACTGCAAATACTGCTCTTCATATGTCTTGTTGCTGTTCTTTTGTATTTTATTTTGATTTTGTTGTATGTAATTTATAGAGATGGTCTATTTACTAAAGTACTCTTCAGAATTTGATGCTTTTTCTTAAGTTTAGAAGCTAAAAACAAGAGGTTGTTTTTGCTCTTATGCTGTGGCAAGGAGGTATGGTTTTGTGTTTATTTTCCTGTGTGTTTTCAAATTTGTTAAATAATAGTTGCTGACTGGTGTTGTGAAGTACAAAGATTTTTATAAAGTGATTGGGGAATCATTAATTAAAAAGCGCTGTTTAAGCACAACGTATTTTTATTAGCATTGGTTAATGTTGACAAACAACCTTTATTATTACGAACAGAACTGTAAGATAGAGAGATGATAGTAGAAACACTATGGCAAATGAAGCCTGGTTTAAAAAAAAAAACCACATCAACTTTGAGCCAAATAAGATGTTAAAACTTAGTAACAAAACAGGTAACACTTGTGTTTAAAAACCACATTATATAAGATTTCATACATATATCTATTTATGCATGGGAAACATATATTTTGGAATTGTTTTTATCATTCTTACCTTTAATGATAAAGTTTTCCTTATGATATATTAAATAGTTTGGGATATTATTATAAACAGATGAGCTCATAAATTCAGAATCAAGTTAAAAATAAAGATGGCTTTTCTATAGTGCAGTTAAACCACTCTTTTTTTTCTGTAGAATGCATGTTTGGTATAATATATGCTATTTTTCACCTTATAGTTATTTAATATTTTCATTCCAAATGTCTAAGTTGTATATAGTCTTTTGAAAAGTAACTATATTTTTAAGAACATTCTATATTTTGTTTAAATGTAGCCACTCTATTTATGAGTAAAGAAACCAAAACACTAAATTAATTACAGTGCAACTGGTACTCCTGAAGCATCCTCCAAACTGGACTGTTTTCTATTATTTGGGCTTTTGTTGTTGCCATTTTGTGACGAATATCATCTGCTCGTGGCTTGGAAGTTATCTTAGAGGAAGGAAAATATTGTGAGTAACGCTTAATAGTAGAATATTCAGCATCTTATTTTTTAAATAGTACAAATGTAAAATTATTCAGCAGTGAAATCTGAATCATGTTTTCTGAAGTAGATGTTCAGGAACGATGTACACACAGAGGTGATTTGATGTATCCCTTTAGGTACAGGACCAGTCCTAAAACAACAAGTCCTGTCAGCATTGCATCTGATTATCTGGATAGTATTTCAACACGAGTTGGGTACGGTAGCTCAGGATTAGCTGGATGGTATTGCTCTCTTGGCTATGTCTGTTAACCTGGGGGAAAAAATTTCATTTTTTAGGCCCTATACTAGTTAGGGATTCTCTGGCAAAAGATGAGCGCATTAAGCTGGCTTTGCGCTGAATCAGTAAGAAATAAAATCATGGCAACTGATAGATCTGTGGTATATCCTATCACCACTTCTTATGAGGCTCTCCTGTTGAAATCTGGTGTAAACATTCTGAACAAGTAGAAAAGCAAATTCAAGTTTATAGGATCAGCAGTAATCTTAAAAGCTTTTAGGTTAATGCTGCATTAAGAGACTGGGCCAGACATCAGTAGATTAAATAAAAACTGTTCATTCAGCATTGTAATAAGTACTTAACTTTTTGCCATATAATAAGTGAGATGTAGCTTACACACTTTTAAAATTATGAATACTCTGAAGAGGTTAATGCTTATTATCCTGAGATGCCCACTTCACGAAAGGATAAAATGAAAATTCGTATTTGATTTCTAACATGTCATTCAACCTGCTCTTTTTTTTTTTTTTTGGTATATTGGCTGCTGCTAGTAGTGTTATAGTTGGTATCTAAGTTAGAATATTCATAGAAAAATGTTCTTTGAAGAGGTTCAGTGAGTAGATTTAATTAATAATGTGTTGATGCATACAGGATATGTTGCAGATACACAGATAAATTGCACTCATTAAGCTGTAGAAATAATACACTAGTACGTGCATTGTCAAAAATCCACAAGTAACTAGAGTTCTCAAATTAGCACTTTTACTTTCAGTTGAAGTCATTACATATTTAGACCTCATGCTGGTGCTGCACTACTAAATGAAGACATCCTAAGTTAACTGGTAAAAAAGAGCTGAATTAGCTCTTAAATATCTAGTTTGTCTTTATAGATGCTATTATGAGCTTTTAAAGTTACCTTCAACAATAGTTTAAAGACTCGGCTAAAGCATCAGAATAACAGTCCTACCTCAGTGTATTACATGGATTGTGGTCAACATAACCCAAAAAGTCCCATTAAGGAAAAATAAGTATTTGATAGTTCTTAGCTTTTCCTGGCTAATATACTTCTTAAGATCTGATATTTTTAAGTATGTGCAACCAGACTTACCTTAGCTATAGTTAGCATTAACTTAACAGTTTCAGCAGTATTATGAACTGGTATTACACGTAAATTGCTGCCCAGGAATCTGCATATCAAAATAAATTAAGTTTGTTACTTTTAGAATGCGCATTTAATTTCTTATGCCATAAAACTCAAAAAGCATTCCCACATGATGTAAACAACAACTTACTGTGCCTTCACCACAGTACATAAGAGATTGCGTTTATCTTTAACGGCAACTGGAAAGATCATGCTGTTTGTAGAGCCATCTGTCCTGTTTCTGTACCACTTGTTTAGGTGGGATTTGGAAGGGCTTGTTTCTTTTTCTAGGGCTCTGTGACAATCAATCAACACTTCTTAAGCATGTGTATGTTCAGAGAGAACTAAACCCTCTTCTGCTATATTGTTGAAGACTGTTCTCAGTGCTAGTAAAAAAATACTTGTTTTTTTTTTTAATGGCTTTGGAAGAACACAGGAAAGTATCTAAAAACAGCATGCTAAAAATACTTCAGAATTTGAACTAAATCTTTGCTGTATTTACATAGTACATTACAATCTGTACGTCAGATGCGATTAAGATAATGGATAATTCTGCTAACGATTTCAGGTAAAGACTTGTTGATTCAAATAATTTAACCTAAAATTCAGCTTCTTTCTATAAATAATGTTATTCATATGCATTCATTCTTGAGAATGAAATCTGAAGATTTAAAATACCAACATCAGTTGTCATTCAATGCAGTCATGGAAGAGAGAGTGCAAAGCTCAGGCACGCACAGAGCCTCTCCTTAAGACGGGTATTGTTAAGTGTGTTGTAAAAACAACAGCAAAGTTAGCATTGCTGCCATTTTCTGTTGTAGAGCTAAAATGTGACAGGGACTTAACAACAAAGAATGAGGAATTTAAATAATCAAAAATTGAATACAAACAAAGTGCCCAGCTGCTCCGTTGTATACTCCTCTGTGACCTCCCCTTGCGACTACCACCTGTTCTTCCCCTCAATCTGTTTGATGACTTGGACTCGTTCACGTTAAGACCCGTACTGGTTAGATACCCGATCTGCACTTGGCTGCCCATTCTTCTAATTAGCAAAAATAAATGTTATAAGCTGTGTCCTTCCCTAAGAGTAGGTACTCAGGTCACTGTTGAGTTTTACTAAAAATCTGATGCAGAAATTGTGGTTTGATTTACGTTTAGGCATTAGGGAAATAAATAGATGCAACTTTGCTAATACTAGTAATGGACTAAGCAAAGTGTGAATGAACGAAGTGAAACAAAGAAACAATTACAAGTACTTGTCCTAGAGCCACAAAAATCCATTTCTATCAATAGTTTTGCTTCCAATTACAGCAGGTCTAAATTTAGTTTGTATTTTATTAATTTGATCAACGGGCAGAATACTGGCCATTAGAACACAAGGCTGGTCTTTGGTCCAAGGTGTTTAAAAATTAATGTATGGATTTACTGAGGATATTAGTGGAATGGTCATTTGAGCTGTGATGATAAAAGATTGCCTTTTTCCCCCTTCCCCCGTGATATACACAACCCTACATCAAGTGTTCATGGTGTCAAACAACAATCCTGTAATGTTCTTTTTTTATAACAATAATTAAAAAATCCTTCCCAATTGCAACAAAACCATAGATAAGCAGAAAGAAAGAGTAATACAGGAAGACTTGAAAATACCAGAGGACTTTGGTTTTTAACAAATCCAACATGTGGCTTGTAGTTTGAGAGAATATGGCACAAGTTGTGACCCCACCAATGCAAAAGCTCAGTGATTTACATACAATAGCAGATCTTAAGCTGCCAGGTAGGAACAAAGCACATGCATCTAAAATATAATTGCGCCTTGTCAACATCAGCTTGGTATGGCCTGCAATGACAAAACTATTATTTTTATTTTAATAAAATTACTGACTTGCCAAATGGAATATCATTTAAAAATATCGTCTTTGTTGGGGATCAACACGTGCACAAAATCCTTTGTACGTAACCACAAAGTAGATTGAGAATTAGCATTACCATCAGCTGAATAACATGTTCTTGCTGAATGGTGGCAGAGCTTTTAAGACCTCTCATGAAAATTTATGGAATTTTCACAAATGGGTAATAGATCTCCTACATTTCATCCCACACGCTCTGCTACTCATCAGCATTTGGCAGTGTGCCCAGGATTTAATGAAACTGGTCCTAGTTTCAAGAAAGTAAAGATCAAAGTCTTCATTAGAATAGTCACTTCTTTGATGTCAAGAGTGAAAACCAGGTGCCATTAGGACTACTGTACCTACCAGAAAATAGTTTTGACTACAAGGATGGAGCACAATCTGATAACTGTTCTCAGCAGGTATGTACTGAAATGGGCACGTTTACAGGATTCATTAGAAATCACAGATAAAGTTTTAAACAAACCAGTTTCAATGTCCAGTTTTATACTTCTGGTGTAAACCAACATTGATTATTTCAATTGTTCTAACTCAGTATTACCTGTACCAAGTAAACATTTTAAAAGCTGGTAAAGAGTCTGTACTTTACAATAAAGCCTATTCTCATGAAGGAAGCTTGCCTGTTCCATTTTTTAAATGACCATGAAAAGATGCTGACAGAGCTAAGAAAACTGCTTAATTTTCCAGTTCAAGAAAAAACTTTAAAAATAATTATGTTACATAGCCCTAAAGTGATTGAAAGGGATGTTATTTGCTATGCTTTGAGGAACGTCCCTTTTTGTTACCTATGGCATGTTAGATTGATTCACTTATTATTCTTTTCATTTGCCACTAAAAAACATATGCTTTAAATAACTTTCCAGTGCATTAGCAAAACAAAATTTATATTCCTAAAAAATAATCCCTAAAATAACATTCTCAAATCTAGGACTGCTACTTCATTTCTTCCTAGCAATAAAAATTTTGGTTTGATGTTGAACTCAGACCTTTTCTGAATCCTAAACATGACATTCCATTCTTCTGGTCCATGAAGAGCAGCTGACAAAACCAAAAAACTGTTTCGATGAATGTTTATGAAGTTTTGAATTCTTTTGAAAAACTCTTCCTCCCCTGTCATAAGCAAGTCTTGAGTGTCTGCCAGTATAAATGCAACACCTATTAAAGAAAATGATATAAATGTATATGTCATGGCACTAATATGATTAAGTTCTCACCACAAACCAGGACTAATTCTTACTCAAACATTAGTTTAAAAGGCAATGGAACAAAACACATGAATGAATTTACGCATCTTGACAGTGAAATGCAATCATGAGATTTGGCCAGTGATGACTACTATTTTTAAGATAAAACTACAAGTAACTCAGAGGTTATTTTCGACCATAACATCAGAAAAACCCAACTGTTAATCCACTCAAAGTACAGATATCTGAATGCCTTTGAAAGCACATGCTTCAGGAACAAGCAACTGCTGTAATGGAATGAATTGAGGGCAAATGCAAAGACTGATTGGAGAGCTCAACAAGTCCCATTTCTAAATGAGATAAATAAACACACCTGTAGCATCTCAAAAGTAAGCAAAACTGTCTAATATGAAAAATGAAATTATAACCATATCAGCTAAGTTATTTTGAAAGGGAGACTTAAGGCTGAAGTTTAAGAGGGAGGATACGAAAGGCTAGGCCACTGTGTGCCTTGTTAATCCTTACAGTTCCGGAAAGCTTCAGTTTAAGGATCTCATCTACCTGTCTAAAGCATCATTTGCTCTAAAAAGGAAGGTCAGACATTTCATGTTGGCAGTTTCAGTGATTTCCTAACCAAACCTACTCAAAGAATCCTTTCCCTAACTCCTCTGCTAAACCAGGTCTGCAAACTCAATTTGGAAGATGAGAGCCACAGGAAGGCTCTTGGTTCACTCTTGTGTTTACAGTCATGAATACTAAAATCTTGATGGCTGTCTTACAAGTTAGTGGCCCTCAATGTGTTTGCTCAGTTATAAGGAGAAGTTACTAAACAGTTCAGCTGATGATCACCAAATCCAATGTAGCTGTTCTACAATACATGCAAAAAAAAGTAAAAATCAATGAAAACGTTTCATCTTCAAAGTTCTCTGCTCCATCCTCTGATTTCTGTGCAATCAAAGCCCAGGTCCTTCCACTGTTGCATAACATTCCAACAAGGCAGCTTTTATTCAGTTTAGTGTAGCCTGCAACAGGGCCTGATCCTGTACCTCAGTAAAGCTTATGAGTTTAAAACGATAAACTTCAAAGTACTGTACCAGAAAGAGAAAAAATCACGGATCCAATTTCCACCGATTCTGAATATCGAACTCGGTGTTGTTGCCTCTGTAGAACTGTAGAAATTTCATGATTCTAAATAAATTTTAAAAAGTTATTTTTAAAATAGTTTTCAGCCAACAAGTCAGAAATATTCTTAAAGCATTGTCTGAAACACTATAGATAGAACTTTAGCATCGTCATTTAAAAAATATTTTTTATTCCACTTGCAATAAAAAAGTAATAAAATGTTAATTAAACTTTTCCAGTTAATGAAATTTTGAAATAGTTGCACTGGAAGTCATCAAACATTGAATGACAATTTTGTAGGCATATATTCAGTTTGCCACAAGAAACTCTTGCATAATACATAAAGAAGCTCAAACATTTTACTGTCTATTTTTGTAAGATGTGCTAAAGGAGGATTTGCAGAAGTGAGGAACATAAGACTAGTGTGTTTCTATGACTCCTGTTAATTAGACTGCATTATTTTCACAGATGTCGGCATTTCATTCGGAAGATAGTTCAGAAAATCTGCATGGGGCATGATTTTCTTTAAAGCTTTTTGACAGAATGCAATCCACTCAGGAAAACTAGACCATGGCACTATGCACCATAATCATCTACAGAATGGAGTGGGTTTGGATGTATTTTTCGACCTGCAAAAAGCATTTCTGCAGTACATTCTACAGAAGCTGCTCAAACACACACATTTTAAAGATTACATCACTTAATCCTTTTTAGCTAATAACACATTCTTTAACCTACCCATTTAAAAACATAGCCAACCTGCTTATATAGGGAAGTGTATGATTTAGTAGAAGAGTACAAAATAAAGTCAGAATAGCGGTCAGTTATGCTTTCGATTGGTCTGGAAAGGTAACACTCAATGACAGCAGCTTATGAGGTATAACTGCAATTTTGGAAAAACTCTCTGCTTCAAAGCCACTGCTGACAGTGAATTATTTAATGCACAAATACAAATAACAGCTATAAGAAAAGGATAGCTGCATAGGGAAAAGAGAAAGCTCATAAATAAAACTGATACAAAGCAATGCCTGTGTAAAAGAAAAGCCATCTTAGATTTGTATTCAGCTATTTCCATATCTTTACTCACTAGGAGCCCTTACCAACAGCAGTAGTTTTGAGTAGAGCTAGGGCTCTTAGTAGTAGGAGTGAGTTACACTGATACAGCCGATGAGATCACTGCCCTCCAATACCTCTCACCATATTATGGATTAAGTTGCTCTTGAAGCAGTTCCCAAACTGTAACAGTTTACAGGCTGTCATTTACTGCAAGCAAATAAGAACAGGCCATAAACTGAGGTCATTCAGGAATTACTTCAACACCATTCACTCATTTATATAGCAGAGATGGAGTGATAACCTTGTCAGCCAAGCTAGCATAAGACATCCTTGCTTGTGAATCAAAGCCCTCTTGCCTGTAAATTCTCTCCAGCTGGCATGAAATTGGTCTCAGCTGCAGGAACTAATTATCAGCTCCTTGACATAGCCTTTCACTTTACTGAGGAACACAGTCCAGGCTTCTGATATGAATAGATATAATTATACATCAATATCTGTAAGACTTACTATTTTAAACTAAATTGCACACTTACTGAGTAATAATCTACCTCAAAGTTGATACTGTATAGTAGAAAGTAAAGTGTTTAGGGAGAAATTCAGATAATTAAAAACATTTCTGATGGAATTATTCATAGTGCTAATTGAAAGCAGCATCAGTGCAGTGCAAAAATGATGAGTCAGGAGGACAATCCTAAAGCAGTGTAACTCAGAACAGCAGGTGGCAAGAATACTAAATAGGTACAGAAGTAGCCAGGAGAAAAACCACACACACAAAAATAGGATCACTACTATAGTAGAAGCAACTTCAGACTAATGTCACTGTTTTATCCTCAAAACCCAATATTCATTGACATTGCATAAAATATTTCCACGGATAGAATATACAAAATGCTTCTTTCAGTGATTCCTAGTGAGTCAGATACTGCTCTTGACAAGTGGTATTGTACCTGCAGAGCTGTACTCATAATTACTGTTGTTATCCATCTTGACTGTTCCTGCCCACCACCTTCTGTCATTTTTTTTCAAGGGTTTAATAGCTTTGCAGTAAAATCTCAGCTGCCACCTTCTAAAAAGCTTGGAAAAAGAAAGATGACAGATATTACCTGCCAATTAAAGAGGTGAAAAGTTTAAGGCACAGTGATCCATTAGAGATCTAATTGAAGACCAGGGTACTACCCAATTCTCCAAATGTATACAGGTGCTCACTACTACTGAACTAATTTAAGATGGCAATTAAGTACCTAAATGGCTTTAAAGAATCTGCATCTGAGAGGGCTTCCTCTGTAAGGTGCAACAGAGTGAGCAGCATAATGAACAAACTACTTCAGAAAAGCATTCCTAAAAGCACTTAAAACAACTATGGAATGTGTGCCCTATTTTCAAAGGGCGTGTTTGCCACTGTGCACCTTTTACGCTAAGATGCTTTTGGGAAGACTGCCCTGGGCCTCTCGCCCAGCCTGGAGCATCCCACCGTGCCGTGGGCCTGAGCACTATCTCTTTTCATGTACGTTTGCGTTTTACTCTTCCGAAAGCATCCCTGGATATCCAGCCTGGCAGGCGTTTCTATTTCGGTGAGGCTCACGCGGTGCGGCCGGGGAGAGCGCAGCTCCCGGGCAGAGCGGGCGGCAGGCAGGGGCCGGGCCGCGCCGGCGGCCGGAGAGCTGCTGGACGCGAAACCTTTGTGCCAGCTGGTTCCCAATACAGGCCTTATTCCCGCCTCTCCTCATTTTAAAAACCTGCTAAGGCGCTAAAATGAACTCCCCGGGGTGCCGGCCACACG